GGGAGCGCCGCTGCGCTTCCCAAGCGGCGCACTGTAGGAGTGCGCCACCGGGCCGGCCCCAGTAAAATTCTTGTTGGGCATAGCATCCTGACAGCTTGTGTAATACAAACATTTCCATAGTTCGTTTTACTAGGACGAACCTAGTACTTAACTTAGGAAGACTACATTTGAGAGGCTATTTAGGTCACTCTTGAAGACAAGGTTTTTACCTTTGTCTGCCTACAGGTAGGAAAGTCGTAGCAATAAGTGATCTGGTACCAGTTATCCTGCCTTAAATCATTTTTTTCACCTTCCATTAAGACCCTACATATCTGGCCTATCTAGGGCCAAACAGTACCTGGTCTTTGATTTACAATCCTCTGCTTAGTTGCAAGTTGTTAGTTGCTTAATTGCAAGTACTATGTGACTTTATAAGTTAAGTCCTAATAATTGTACTCCATAGCATCAGGATATATTTCATTAGGAACTGATGCATTGACTCAGGTTTGAATTCTTAAATTATTAGAGACAAGCAGGTTGGAAGAAACACATTTAAGGCAAATAACTTAGGAAATTTAAGAACATAGGCTTAAGGCCTTAATACAGAAGGATAGGCAAAGGCCAGAGTTTCAGTTCCAGATCCTTCATCTTAAAGCTATAAGTGCAGCTGACCTAATAATGTTGGGGGAGTTTTTCCAGCAAAACCCAAATTCTCTACATTGCTAAATGGTATTTGCAGTTTCTTACTTCTCAGAAGTAGTTAAAAAGGAAATAAAACTGTTGATGCTAAAAGCAAGATCTGGTTATAAATATGTTAGTAAAATAGACCAAAAAATTTTAAACTCAACTTTCTTAAAAAATAAATAGTACTTTTCCATTCATATAATAAATGTTGTAAAGCTTTTAATGTTAAAGCATAAAAAGAATCAAGGGCTGGCCAGTTAACTCAGTTGGTTAGAGCATGATGGTGTTATAACATCAAGGTCAAGGGTTTGGATTCTGTACCAGCCAGCAGCCAAAAAAAACCAAAAAAAGCATAAAAAGAATCACTTCTCATACATTTCACAAAATTATGTCTGTGGAGTATTAATCAAAAGAGACCCTACAGGTCATTTCACTCTGAGGACTCTGATTCTTTACTTCTCATCAGTTAAGTGAAATATGAAATATTTTGACAATTATTAGAAATCATATGGGAAGAAAAACTCAAGTGATTTGGTTTAACCATAGTGTATTGTTTCCATACCCCCCCAAAAGCAAACAAGGAAACAAGAACTAAATACAGTACCCTAAGAATAGCTCAGCTAAATCACTGTTTGACCTGAAGTAGATATCATGCTCTGAATGACAGACATAAAGATTGATTTATTTTTCCAATTCTATTTATAAAACATATCCATGCAATATATACACATTAGAAAATGAAGCTGCAAATATTTTAGAAGAGAATAAGTAGAAGAAATGCCTAGATACAATAACAATTCATTTATCTGTCATCCTTGACGGGTGATTAACTTGCATAAATTAATTTTTCGCTAATTGAGGCAAATCTACTTCATCATTAAATTTAACAGTATAGTAACTAAATATACCTTCCACTCCACTTTTTCTAGAGTATGCAGAATATAATTTAACTTCTTTGTCATCTAAGAATGTCAGTTCCTATCATGGGGTGATACAGAAATTCATCCTCAGTGGCTACTGAGGTATATAATGTCATATGCCTCTTTACTAAATGACCTCACATTGCTATGCTTTTTGAGTTATGTCTGTTTCTCACAGTTTCTCTATCTTCCCTTATAATCAGCTGTCATTTTCACTGCTGTCTTGTGTGCCTGCTTCCTGCAATAGGCCCCTAATTTGCTGCTTCTAATCTGCTGTGGACTGAGAAGCCAGATTGCCAAGCTTTCTAGAATTGTGTCTCATATAAGAGTAAGTAGACTGAAAGAAAGCTTAGGGGTTTTTCTGTCAGTAAAGTGCATGGACTTTGTAATACCTGTTTGTCTGCTCAGCATTCTTTTGTTTGCCTTAGTTCTTTACTAAGAACTTGCT